GACTCCCTGGGCCCTTAATAGAAGGGATATTCAGAAAGATAGAACTTCCATTGCTGAATGGAAGAAATGTTTCCCTCCCTATTAAAAAGCAGCCTCTAATTAAAGAAATATGTCAAAATGTTCCCCAAGAAAAACCTTATGTCAGCTAAAGAACTGAATCATTTGAAAATGAGAGGGATCATTTGGTCCATTTTTAATAGATATTATGAACAAAGGGAAAAAAAGAAACAGGGAAGAAATGAATCAGAATTCAAGCTGAATAAATACAGAAATCTGCAGTTATAATGTAATGGGAAAATATCTATATTTAGGACTTTGGAGAAGCCAAAAGCCACTCTGTATATGCTTAATTTTTACCATACTTATAATGCTTGCCATAAGCATTTAACTAAACCCCCTAAAGAGAGAATGGGACATAGAGAGTGGATGGCATCATACAAATAATTTAACAAAATATGCTCCAAAAGTCTTGGGCAATTTGGAATACTAATGCAATACTATATGGAAATGGACTTTAGAAACTACAAAGCCCTATTTGAATGTAGGTTAGTATTATTATTACTATTATTACTTTACAGAAGTGCAAATATCTCTGGCTGGGTGGCAAATAGTGTCCCACTACTTTTCCCAAACCTATATATCAAGAGTAGTGAGGGAAAAAAGAATGCTGGGATAGACTTACTTCTTCTCTTAAATCCATGTCATCTTTTTGGGAGAGAAGCTTCCATACATCCAGGTTATACAAATGAGAGACACTCAATTAGAAGGCTGTTTCAAGTTGGCTGTTTACCTTCAAGGATCAACTGAAAATATGTAGTTACAGACATGGGACAGTTGCTTAGATAGTTGGGATGCCATATATATATGTATATGTACAAGAATACATATATCATAGTTCCATCCCATATAGCCATGAATAATGCCTATCATTTTCTAGGTTGTTGTTGTTGTTGTTGTTGTTAAGTGCCGTTGAGTCGTTTCCGACTCATAGCGACCCCATGCACAGCAGAACGAAACACTGCCCAATCCCGCACCAGCCCCACAATCCCTGCTATACTCGAGCCCATCATCGCAGCCACCGTATCAATCCATCT